AGCTAAGCAATGAGGTCTGGATTTAGGGAGACACATGGGTTGCCGCCTCCCCTCACCAGCTGTGAAAGCCAAAGAATTTAACTAGTGTAGAGTTACAGGTTTCTGATAGGTAGACCTATTCCTGGACAGGGTCCAAAGAGGTCCCCAAAACAGAGAACCTTGACTCATCACATCCATGGGGCAGGTTGCAGGTTTTCTGACTTCCCCCACAGAAAAGGGATTTTCAGGATGCATCAGTAAGAGGAATAAAGAGATTTATGGGGCAGAATTTTAAAAGCACACACCCAAAGAAATAGAATGTAGTTCCTGCAGAGGGAGCAAGGAGCTTGTGGCCTCCAGCTGGTTATACTTATGGTGATTTGGAGCTGTCTCTAAGATGGGTTATCTAGGATGTGGACTCTGAGAACTGGGGTTGGAGGGACCACAATTTATGGGTGACAGACCTACAGCCCCATTTATAGGCTTCTCATTTTTAAGGGCCTTTAGAATTGTTCCTTGAGGCGAAAAAAAAGCTTGAATACTTTTGTGTCCAGAAGCTGCAGTTTTTCTCAAAAAGTACATTTTTAACATTACAATTGGCGATGTCTCATTTCTATTTATTTCTTCCATCCACCTCAGTCACAGCCAAGCCCAAGGTGAAGCCACAGAGGGTGAATTCCCTACAGAGCAGAGCCACTCCCAGGCAGTGGAAAATCTTAAGCCAATTTCAGCAATAATATCCATGCTAATGGAGAGCAGGCTGCCCCTCACTGCGAGACACTGTTATGCCAGGATGTGGCCCCTAAGCTGAGCCTTCATTTAGATTCAGATTCGAAACTTCCCAAGGTCATTGTCACTGGTAATTAAGCCTCTTTGATTGTTCCATCCCACAAAAATGACACCATAGTAAAGAAATCAAAAAAATCTTTATCTCATTTCTGAAGGTGCCCAAGGATGAGAACCAGCAGTGGTATAAATGTGTGAGTGATGCTCACTCATTCATGAGTCCTGTTTTTGGCAGACCTGGCTGCTAGAAACTCGGAGATTTAAGCATCTTGATATGCAGCCTGGGTCTGTGTTGTTGTTACATCATGAAATCTCACTCATAACATCCAAAAATAAATTTCTAACATTCGCATTTTGTAACCCATGGCAATTCCAGTAGCACTTTTTCATGAGTCTGGTTCTGTTTTCCACTTATCAAAGTAAAGACTCAGCAGAGTTACTCAAGGGTCTGCCTAGTGGTAAATGCCCAGGCCCCTCCTGTGCCAGCATCCCTGAGGCTGTGGCCCAAGTACTGGAAGTGCTGAATCAGTCCCTGGGGATTCTGAGGTGGACTGTTAGACACTAAGTCCCTGGAGGGCAAAGCCAGCCATCTCATCTCTGTATTTCCTTCCCCCAACAAGATGCCTGGCCAAGGATCAGCACTCACCAGAGTTGGTGAACCAGACTCATAAGGTCTTAGGGACCTATTAAGCTGGAATCTGTCCACTCCAGCCACTTGCTACAAAGCTCTCTGTTCAACATCACTCGAGGCTCTCCTGGGCTACCTGGCCCCATTGCCAGCTCCCAAGACCAGAAAGGAAGACTGTTCTCATGCTACCGGGAAGGGAATGGCACCTCCTGGTCCCTAGTAGGCACTCTCTCCTCCCCTTCCTGGGCCTGCCACATTAAAAAGTATTCACAGAGGTGGCCTTTTCTTCTCAACATTAAACAGCTCTCTTTGGGGCTCTTAAACCAGTGTCTTCTGTCTTTACATCCCAAATCACCTAGGAGCTTCCTTAGAAATGCATCTTCCTGGGTGAATTTCCACCTAGGAATAAGAATCTGTGGGGAAGGACTCGGGTACTGAGTTGCCCAAAACACACCCCAGCTCCAGATGACTTTGACACTGAGGACCCCTGAGCCACTGGTAAGGAGATTCCTATTTAACTCATTCTTCTCTTGGACTCGGCCTTGCTCCCCTCCCTTGGTACTGGGGCTTGAATACCCCCAACCCTTTTTCACTCAGGGTTTTGCTCAGTTGCTAAGTTGTACAGGCTGGACTCAAACTCACCATCCTTCTGCCTCAGCCTCCCAGATGCTGGCTCACATTTCTTGAGCATTATTTTTCCAGGAGCATTAGCTTCCCATCAGTCCACAGCCTGCCAACCCCACTGCAGGGACAAAGTTAACCTGCTTCCCTGCTGCTCCTCATGCCCAGAGAGCTCTCGCCCACCCTTTGATTGGAGCACTTATCTGACTTTTTAGCTAATTGTTTGTGCTAGTCTTTTCCCAGAGGGCTGATAGAGGTTTTCTTTATCTCTGTATCTCCCAGGCCTGAGCCTCCCGTGCTGCTCCAATGAGAATTCCAAGTGGGTGGTCTGCAGAATGGTCAGCCCCTTCGGAGGATGCTTCTTTGAGACACGGGCCTGTGCCTGTTGGCTCTGTCAGCCAGACTGACCTTTTCAGACCCCCCTCCCATCTTCCAAGAGTTCTGTTACTACCACCAAAGCTGTGTGCTAAGATACAGAAATGAGCAATCTCTCCTAAAAAATACTGCCAGATAAACTCGAAGCTCTGTTGCCTTGCAGGTAAACACACACACACACACACACACACTCTCACACACACTTCACATAGCAATGCTGTGAAAGCTAAGTAGTTTTGCAGCAGTATTTCTAAGCTCGAAAGAAGACACTGTGCAGATAGCCTTGAATATCCCAAGGCTTCTTGGGATGCTGCCTTTTGCATTAAGGCCATCAAAGCTCTTGGATACTCTGACTTCTGATGCTGTGAATGGGGGCAGGGCTTAAACTTTCAGGCATCTTTTCCTGGCTCCTTGAGAGCCCCCACTGTCTTTGGTGTCTGCCACTGCCAACCATGGTCCACTGTGCTGCCACCTCAGTCTTCATAAAGCCTGGATTTCTTACTCCATGTCCTTTTGGGTGAAGGTCAACTTCTAACCTGCTGTTAGAAGGCCTCTTCAGCTACTTTCAGAGCTCTACTCTGCAAAATGCCCTTTGGGTTCCAGCCACACTGAACACTGAATAACCTGCCACTCTGAACAAGAATCCCCACCCAAGCTCAGACTCTGCTGTCCCCTCTGCCCACAATGCCGTCTGGCCCACCTTGCCCTCTTGAAATCCTGCCAACCCCTCAAATTCCACACTGAGTGTCAGGTGCAGGTCACTGGATGGTTGAACACCTGGCTCCACCACTTGCTTGCTGCATGACTAGAGGAAAGGCACTGGGTTCATCTTCAAAACAAGTGTTGAGAGGAGGTCTAAAGAAGAGAAAACCAAATCCCCAGACCGTCATTCTCATCCTCCAACTCAATCCTCTGAACCACTCTCCCCTCCCTCCTCACCCAAGCTAGGAGCACAGTGACTCACCAGAGGTGACAGTTATGTTTATTATGAAGACTAGGACACCTACGGCTGCAGTAGAGATCAAAGGGCTGTGTCGCCATCATGACCCTTTGTCTAGCACAATGACACTGGGTGAGGGTGACCTTATCTCCTTCTCTTTCACAATCAGGTCCACATAACTCACAGGCCAATTGTCTCTGCCGGGTGATACTGAAATTCAGGGTCTCAGAGGTCAGAATGATCTAGACTTGAGCCACAGCTGTGTGACCTTAAGCATATTTTTTATTTTCTAATTTACAAGGAAAGGACGGCCCCACCTCTACAGAAACAATCCTATATCCTGGGGTTGGGTGGATTCAGTGCACTCCTGTGAGTGAAACTGTTGATGTGGACTCTCCCAGCCTCTATAGGAACTGCCCAGGTAAACCTGGGAGCACAGCTTCTGTGGGTTTAAAAGTCGGGGGGACTGTGGCCCAACTGTCCCACTGCCCAAGGGCCACAAGTGACTTTCATGGGCCCTCAGCACTTTTGTTTTTGTGAATCCCTTCTTCCTTCCGTAAGAAAACAATAATAGCCTATAGTCCTAGCACCCTGAGAGGCTGAGGCAGGAGGATTACAAGTTTGAGCCCAGCCTGGGCAAATTAGCAAGACTTTGTCTTTAAAAAAAAAAGAGAGAGAGTAATGTAGCTCAAGGGCTCAATCTCTAGTACCACAAAAAGTAATAGTAATAATAATAATAATTATAAATGAATTATATTTTATATTTTATGACTGCATTGATATGAAGATGAATGTAATCTAGCTGAGTTTATTTTCTCCTTCTGATTTTAAAAGAAATTAGTTAAAACATTGCAGCCTAGACACCGTACCTCTTCTTGTTCCAAATGGAAGAGTCCGCCCTTCGTCCACCTCTGGGTCTCCCGCCCACCACGCTCCCTCGAAGGGCCTTTGCCCAGGTCCCTCTTCCTGGAAGCCTCCGCCCTGGCCTGGCCTGCCCTCGCCTGTCCTATCCGCCTCCCTCTCACCCCTCAGAGTGGAGGCAGACAGACCTCGGGCTCTCCTCACAGCCTGACAGCCCGACCTGCTCCAGCTCTGACAGGACAGGCGCGGCCAAGGCCCGTGCTGCTGCCCACCCCGAGTCGAGTCACATGGTCCTCCACCCGCTCTGCTCTCCGAGGGCTAAAGGCCTCCTTCCCCGCCGGGTGTGACCATCCGATCTCCCACCCACTCCCCAGGGTCTTCGTGCTAGGTGTGGTGTGCGCCCTGGTGAGCAGGGGCCCAGCTGACCAAAGCTCAGAGGCTGAGCCGCCTTCAACGCCCAGCAGCAGCAGGGCACGCGGGTGCTGGAAGCTTCTCACCTCACCAGCACCGCTTCTGAAGCATTTTGGGGGATTATTTCATAATTTCTCCTATGCCTCTGACTTCTCAAGAAGTACCAGCAGCTGGGCAGAAACTGGAGGAGGAAGCTGACCTTCCGCCTCGCCAGCCCCGCCTTCAGATCTAGCCCGCCCCAGTCCCCGCCCATCTCCCCCCCCC